CACACACGCAATCACCACCACTACCACCAACCACCACCGCGGGGAGGAGGCCTGGTTAATCTGAATCCTGACCTGCGTGGGGAGGGTGCCCAGCACATGGCAAGGTGGCGGGGCTGCTAGATGTTGCCCACAGCCTGACAAATTGCCAAGTTCCGAGGGGGCTCAGGAGCGTGAGCAGGGAAAGCCGCTTTCACAGAAAGACCTGGGAAGACGCGGGTAATCATCAGCTCTGAAAGGTTATGGCGTTATTACAGATTTAAATTGGGAGAGACTCCCCTTCCTGCCTTCCCCAGGCAGCCAGGAGCAAGGGCTCAGGAGGCTTTGCATTCCAGTTCCCAATCAATCCTGACCTTGTGAAAACAAGTCACTGTCACCCTCTGGGCTTTGGGCCCTCATCTGTAAAACGAGGGAACTGGACAAGAAAGTGGCAAGGAACCCTCTGGTTCAAATAATCCCTGATTCTGCTGGATCCAAGACATCAAGGCTATATATAGCTCAAGTCTCACAGAGCCCTCGTCATGATAGTTGCCCATGCAAGGTGGGGAGTATCTGAGCTGGTTGCCGTGCTGATGGAGTTGGCCTGTGCCTCTTAGCAAAGGGAATTCTGGGCATTGTGGAATTGGGCATGTTACTGGCATCACTTGGAACCCAGGGTAATCCAAGGCCTTGTCCAAACCACAGAACCCTGCTCACCCCCCTGGGGAGTAGAGGGGTCCAGGCTCTCAGATGCTGGGCCCTGGACCCCTGCCCTTTACAACCCTGCAGTATCCCGGAATGGGGCTCAGAGTCACACACCTTGAAGGGGTCAGGTGGCAAAGACCAAGAGACTGCTGACTCAGCAGGCACCTTGTGCCCTGACTGGAGGATGCCCTTCCCAGGCCAATCTTGGGGGTTGCTCTACCCTGAGTCCCATCTCAACACCATGACCTACCCCTGCCAAGCTGAGCCCCAGCCCCTTCCCCGTGCCACCAATCTCCTCCGCTCCAAGGGCCCTGAGTGTTTAATACACCACTGTCAGAGGGATACTTGAGAGCATAAGAACACAAAAGGAATCTATTCCTTATCGTGAAGTTCTCTGGTCCCAAGGCCAAAGTTTTGCCTCACATTAATCCAGCACAATCTCTCTATAGAAGGACGGACAAGCACCAGGCTGTCTCCAGAGGCCCAGAACCTGTCTCCCTTATAAAAGTGCCCAAAACAGGGCAACTGCCCCATCAAGATTCTGTGTGTGTGGGGGGGGGTGTGTGAGAGAGCACCTGAAGTTTGAACAGGATACCATGCCAAGTCCACACTGGCCATGCATACCACACAACCATGCAGGCCTGATCCGGTTCAAGTAGGGCTTCTTCATGGCTCCTGTCACAGCACTCAGCCCTGACAGGCACTGACACCTCCTGGAGCCGGCCTGACGGAATTCCTGCAATACGCACAACAGTGCAGCCCCATTTCCAGCCAATGGCACTGCACATACCTCAGATGCCAAAGTTTTACTAGGACATGGATGCCTTACAAATGAAAAATCAGAAGCTATTTTTGTTTTTGGCAGAAGAGTTTGACAGCGGGAAAGAGGAGGGGGAAGGGAAGCTGAGGAAGAGACCTTCCAAATAGGTGAGCTCCGAAATGACAAAGGCAAACAGCACTGCAAATGGGAAGTACATCTTCCTCTGCTGCAGGGAGTCAACTATTAAAGAGCTTCTGTTTGGGGAGCAGAGGACCAAAAAATGACCAGACAGCCCGTCCTGGGGTCGGACACCTAATCTGAGCATTGATGCGAGCCAGGAAAAGTGTCACATGCAGCAAAAGTGCCACGTCACCAAGATCTGCCCTTCAATGACCTCAGGGGAGAGCATCTGGAAACTGACTTTCCACAATCTCACATTGCATGGCATCCCTTATCCCAGAAAGGGGCTGGTCTGGGGGTAGTGCAGGGTTCCCATGGCCCTGGGGGTTTCTTTTGTGTCTACACGATTTGGGTAGGCAGGCATAAAACTGGCATCATGAAGCAAGCTGTGGATCATTGGGCCACAGGCCCAGGACACACACACACACACACACACATGCACACACACTTTCCCAAACTCCTTTCCTACAGCCTCCTTAACAGGAAATGGGTACACGCTGCTAACCTTCTTCTGAGGGTTCCTTGTGAATTTGTATCCTGTTGCGTTCAAACAATGACAAGGAAAAAAGAGAGACATCGACTCCCCTCCAAACACTGGGATGCCCACATGGGGAGATGTACACACGCTTCGTATGGAATTCACACGCCCAGCAGCCTTTCTGTAGACATCAAACATCCAGGCTCCCTTGAAGTAAAGGTCAAGAAGGCATAAATCAAACCATCACGTATGTTCATGCAAAACATGGCCATGCAAGCTTGGGCTTAGCACCATCACATTGTGCCTAAGACCCTGAGAAAGTTCATGTTGTGCTCTCTTAGGAAAGGCGCAGCACCATCCCTCTGCTCTACGATCCTGGGGGCTGCAACCTCAGCCTGCTGCAGCCTTATCATCAGGGGCTGCCGGGAAGAAAGACAGAGCACCGTGGACTTGCCTCCAACGTCCACACTAAGCACAGGAATTTAGCTGATTCCAGGTAACTTTTCTGTCCAAACCTTTCTGCCCACCACCCCAAGTGTAAGCACCTTGCAAAGCTGTCTTTGAACCCCCTCCCTGAGGGCTGCCTTTCCCCAGGCCACTCTCCTGAGGAGGTGGGGGGGCGTGGCACCAGCGAGGCACAGAGCTGAGTCCAGCAGAGGCAGTGGGGCTGCGCCCTCTGCTCCCTGCTGCCCAGTGGCTCCAGGCCCCACCAGAGAGCACTGAGCTGCCAGGCAGTGGAGGAAGCCAGGAGGAGCACCGGGAGCCTGGGCACTGGAGGGTGCCCAGGATGAGGGCCTGCAAGGGGGAGTGACTGGGCACAGGTGTGTGTGCATGTGTGTGTGTGCACACATGCAAAGGTGTGAGGGTATGAGGGCGTGTGTGTGTGTGTGTGTTTGTGTAGAGGGGTACACATGTGAGCAGGGGCCAGGGAGATGAGGCCGAGCCCAGAGCATCTCCCCAGTGAGTGGAGAAATCCTATGGTGTGCCTGGAGGTGGCAGAGTGTGCCTATCGGGTGTGAGCACCTGTGTGGGTGAGGGTGGGCACAGAGGTGAGCATGGCAAGGTGAGCTTGGCTGGGGGCAGGGCGAGCAGCAGGGAGTGTGGTGTGCCCTTGAGTTCAGAGACATGTGTGGCTGGGGACCCTGGGAGAGGTGGCAGGGAGCATTGGCAAGTGTGCTGGTAGGCTGTGTGTGCACCTAGCTGGGTGTCTTTCTCATCCTCTGTCCACGAGGCAGCAACACCTGCTGGAGGCCAAGACAGGCCACCTAGCTTGGTGGATCCTGCCACCGTGCAAGGTTCCTGGCTCATCCGGGGCTCTCAGCTGCCAGTGCCGAGGCTATGGAGGAACCAGGAGGGAACACACCACCTTTTACCTCACGTAAGAGCTGTGATCCCCTCCCAGGGCACCACTGGGATGTCAGGACTAGCCCTCCTATCCTGTCACATGTACCCAGGGCCCGGAACCAAGAGTCTGGACCTGGGAGTATAAACCATCACACCCGAGCCAACCCCTTTCTCCCTGGAGCAGGTCCTGCCCCTCGGACCCTCCCTGATGCCCAGAAATCCCTAGTGCCTGGTGCCTCAACCTGGGATAGGGAGACGGAGGTGACATGTGCCCACAGACACAGGTGCAGCTGTCGGGCCAAGACTCCCACCATCAGCTCCACGGTGCATGGAGGGTGCAGTCCCAGTCAGACTCCTAGCTCTGGCTTTTCCAGTGTCTAGGCCCAGCACTCTGGAGGCTAGGCAGCCACATGCCTCAGCAGGGACCGGACCTTGGCTTGAGCGATCCCAGTTCTGGTTGTAGAGAGGTGTGTGCTGAGGACGCAGACAGCAGGGCAAACCCAAGAGTGTGGTGCTGACTGGGATGAATGGGCAAGGGTGCTTCTAGTTTCTAGGGATCAGGGCTGGTGAGGGGTCTCCCTGAGTCCAGAGGTGCTTCTGGCTTGTGAGAACCCTTAGCCCCATTTCCTGCACAAGCCTGGTGATCTGAGCCCTTAAGGACCCCTGGCAGTTGGAGCCCCTCATCCATCTGCTCTCTTGTTCTCCCCAGAGTCCCATTGAGTCCATGGATAATAAAATAAATAAATAATAATAATAATAATAAACAATAAAATTTATCAAGTGCATCAAAATGGATGCAACTGGAGGACATCATGTTCCAGAAATCAGCCAGAGAAATACAAATATCACATGTATTACCTTATATATGGAAGTTTACTTTTTTAAAAAAATCAAAACACCAAAACAAGAAAATAAATGCCAGTGCGTGTCCCTATTGGGGCATATATACTCCTATAAAACTTTGATGACCTTGACAGACTAATGGTTAAGAACATAACACTGGGCCTGGAATTGTGGCACAGTAGATTAAGCATCCACCTGTGGTGCTGGCTTCCCATTTAGGCACCAGTGCAAGTCCAGCTGCCCCACTTCAGATCCAGATCCCTGCTGATGGTCTGCGAAAACAGTGGACGATTAAGAATATATATATATATTTTTAAAAAAAGAACATTATATTGCTCATGTGGAACTGTGGCCTTCTCACCTTTTACCTGATAAATACTAAGGTTAGTGGTGAAGTAAGCCCGTGAATATAACGTGGACTAAAATTATGTCTTGCACAAGTTGATGAAAGGAAAAGAAACCAAGGAGAGAGGTGAATGGGGAGGGAGAGATGGATGGAGAGATCTTCAGTCTGCTGCTTCACTCCCCAAATGAGCACAACAACCTGGGCTGGGACAGGGAGGAGCCAGGAGCTTCTTCTGGGTCTCTCACATGGGTGCAGAGAACCAAACATTTGGGCCATTCTCTGCTGCTTTCCCAAGCACATTAGCAGGGAGCTGGATCAAAAGTGGAGTAGATGAAACTTGAACCGGCTCCCCCATGGGATGCCACAGCTTGGGGCCACCTGTTCTTAAACTTCATATTAGTCCTATTACTGTAATATAAATTTAAAATATATTATCTAAAAATTGAAGGAAGGAACACAGGAAGGAAGCAAACAAGGAAAGAAAGAAGGGAAGGAAGGAAGGGAAACACTGGGAGAGACAGTGTTGGAATGAGAGCAGATAAAAGGGAATATGGCTTTATTCTTAGAATCAAGCTATAAACTATATTGAAGAATTTGTTTAACCCTAAAAATATATACACATCCACCGGAGACAATGTCAGTGGTTAATGGAATCTTACAGAAAAAATAAGCAAGCACATTACAGAGAAAATGAAAGATACAACATACACATTAGTAAAATTGTGTATTTGGAAAATTCTGACTTTTATAAAAATCTAAGTATGAAAATGTTTCTGTAGAAATTATATAAAAAGTAAGATATACAAGTGTGAATATGTTACTGAAAAATACCCTAAATAACACATCATTTAATGTAACACTTAAGGAAGAATGCACCTTCCTAATACATTTTTTAAAATTTTTGTCTATTTTATTATATTTAGATGCTGTGCTAGGTTTTTTTTTAATTTATTTGACAGATAGAGTCAGACAGTGAGAGAGAGACAGAGAGAAGTCTTCCTTCCGCTGGTTCACCCCCCAAATGGCTGGCACTGCGCCGATCCAAAGCCAGGAGCCAGGTGCTTCTTCCTGGTCTCCCATGTGGGTGAAGGGGCCCAAGCACCTGGGCCATCCTCCACTGCCCTCCCAGGCCACAGCAGAGAGCTGGACTGGAAGAGGAGCAGCCGGGACTAGAACCTGGCGCCCATATGGGATGCCGGCGCCACAGGCAGAGGATTAACTAAGTGAGCCACGGTGCCGGCCCCCCAATACATTTATTATCATAGTCTGACACAGAAAGACACAGTTTAGTGACTCTCAGATGTAACTGGAAATATCTGAGTTGGCAACCAATCGTGGAACAGGAAGTATCACAAAGTATGCATTCCAACAAATTGGGAAGCTATTCCAAGAGCTCATAACCGTATTCTTTCTGTTTAAGTGCTGCAGGACTCAAGTATTTAAGATTTATTTGAGGGGCAGAGTTATGGGGTGGGAACAGAATGTGAGAAGGGGTCTTCCATCCACTGATTCACTCTCCAAACAGCCACAACAGCCAGGGTTGGGCTAGGTCGAAGCCAGGAGGTTGCAGCGACCCAACACTTGAGCTATCTTCTGCTGCTTTCCCAGAAGCATCATCAGGGAGTTGTATCAGAAGTGGAGCAGCGAGGGCTCAAACCAGCGCCCATATGGGATGCCTGTGCTCCAGGCTGTGCCTTAACCCATTACAACACAATGCAAGCCCCCAAACTTGTCTTTTTTGCATTTTTCCATGAAACTTTTTAGTTACTCTTATATGTTAAAATGTCTGTTGGCGCAGGAACCTGGAGAGAAGTGTGTAGCTTCTGAGTCTGACACATACCTGCCACACGTCCAGGCGCTACCCCAGGAAAGACCTTGTGCTCCCAGGAAGACCCGCACACGAATGTCCACACAGGCCCAGAGTGGACACAGCTCACATTCTCCACAGTCTGAGAACAGCCGCCATCACCGCTGAGAGCAGTGGCAGCCACCGTGTGCTGAGGACAAGGCACCCGGCCACCGACCTCCCAGAGGCGGCAAGACCATGGCCACGGGAAGCCGACAGCCAGCCTATGGGGTGCTGGGGCCTGGTATCCTGGCCGTGGTCATGGTTCCAGGCTGTTTCCATTTGCCTGCATCTACAGACACCCACATCTCACGTCCAAGTGCCTGGATGCCTGTCCTGGCTCCACTGCTTCTGATCCAGGTGCTAATGGTCCCCCGGGGAGTCGGTGGTGATGGCTCAAGTACTCGGGTCCCTGCCACCCTCATGGGAGACCCAGACAGAGGTCCTGGCTTCAGCCCTGCTCAGCCTGGGCTCTTGTGCTCACCATCCATCTGCCACCCATCCATCAATCAATCCATCCATCATCCATCCTTCCATCCATTAGTCCGTCAATCCATCATCCATCATCAATCATCCATCCATCTCACTCGCCCAGATGCCCACCTGTGCGGGAGACAAATGTCTTCTCGCTCATCTCGTGCTGGGAGCTGCTCCAAGCGTCCCGCAGGTGCCCAGCAGCTCACTGCAGAGCTGGCTCAGACACGGAGCAGGTAGCTGCAGGTGGAGGCAGAGCTGCTGAAAACAGAAACCCCACCCCCCTCACAGCAACCACAAAGGCGGCCAGCAGGGATTTCCCGAGTTTTGGAGAAGGAAAATCCCCGGTAGGAA